CTCTTAAAAAGAAACAATCTATCCACCAACATTCATTAACTAATCCCCTATAAACTCAAACAGATGATATTTAACCATGCGTTCCATGATGACACAAACAGCGAGCTAGGCTAAAGCATAAGAGGAAAACACACATTTGAATCTATGAGATCCGCTTATGAAACAAATTTATCTCAGTTTATTTCAAGTCATTTTACTAAGCTGAGAAAGACACTATCAAACCTGCACTTTTTCTAGTAGCTAAAGCATATTTGTGAGCAATGTTAACTCACCTATTAGTTATTAACAGTTTCAGACAGATTTCCTATTTTTTAGCTTTTGGTGATGTTTCTGTCCATACAAAATTATAGAAAGAAGTCATAACTTTGCATTCTTTATGAAGTCTTCTAGCCTGAAGTGTTTTGAACCGATTCACTTATTCCCATTACATGCAACATTGTGTTTCCAGGTGTTGTCAAAGTCAGAAGTCAGTAGAGACTGACTTTTATTCCTGCTTGTTCTTCAGTGACCCTAGACTGCATTTTTACTGAACCAGAGTAAATATGTTTATACATTTCACTGAAATTTACACAGCTATGTAGCAATAGTAGTGAAGCTAAACTCTTGGTAGGTGAAGCTGAAACAGTGCAGATAAAGTCAAGTCAAATAGGAGTCAAATATTTCTGGAACAACACTACAAATGTCGTGATCTTTGTTCTGAATAGGCCTTTTTAAAAGTGGCGGGTCAAAAAAACAATATGCTAGTGAAGCAGCGGCAAGAGATGAGGCTGATGTTCTCTTTCTCTGACTGGCAAGAGACAACTGGGCCATGTAGTACATGTGTAGTTGACTAAAACTTACTTTCAGTATTACATGTAGACTAGGACATGGATGTGGTAATTGTCGGCCTTTACTGATATCTGATATTTTTCACGTACGTATAACGATGTTGATACATTAACACTCAGACTAATTTGCTAGCTAACATCTCTGAAGAATATTAAATATTAGCTTAGGTAGCAGTAAAAATATGACATTTAATTAATTAATGAGCTACAACAGTTGTCTTACTGAACATGAAGTGGAGAAAGTTTTACCTTTTATTATATGTACACCCCTCCCCCAGCTGAAATGGAGAATTCAGTTGGGCTTGTTTACTAGTAAACCTTTTGAAAAATGAAGAGAGATTTGTTGTATTTACTATTTGCCTAGCACTCTGTGCTCATTTCATTCTTGTATCATTTGTTGTGCTGAGTTAATGCACAGCACAGCTGTTTCGTTTTCTTTAATTGTGTGTAACTGGATTAATTTTTATTTCCTTGCATGCCTCATTTGTGGCAGCAAAGCTTGCAGTCAGGGTGCATGGAGGGTGGTCACGTATAGCCAGGTATTCAGCACATAATGAGGTTGACCTACATTTGTCTTGAGTAGCAATGTGAAGCAGCGTTTGCTGTTGTTTTCATTGGGGAAATGAGGCGGGGAACAGAGAGTAGCCATAATCCACTAAATCCAGATGGACTCCCACCTGCTACATCTATTATCATCAGAGCCTTTGCTGACTTCTGCAGTCACTCACCATCCATGGAGAATGTTTTACCTGGTGCTATGTAGTAGCGGTGTAATGATGCATTGAGAACATGATTCAGTTCTCAGTACCAGGTTCACAACTTGTTTTTCTTATGATATTTTAAACTAAATTTGAATGATTAAGAAACAATGATTGTGTCTATGTTGTGGCATAATTAATGCGATCAGAGATGATAGTGTGATGTATAAAATGTGCTGGTGTGTTTTAAGTTGATTGCTTTTAGTGTTCAAGCACAGCAATTACATTTAAAGGCATAATGTGTGATGCAATGATGTGCATGGTCACATTTTTGCATCAGTGTATTGTGATGTATTGTATTAATTGGGATTTTGGTCTGAACCTGAATACAGCCCAAGAACTTTCTGTCCAAGTCCAGCCCAACCTACATCATCAAGTTTTGACTCCAGGGCCAAGTTTAAACTTTGTTTTAACAAATTTATTCATCAAAAGGTGCTTTTAAACAACATCCCAAAGTGTTTTAGCCTGGATAACCTTTCCATAATGTTTTGCTTTATTGCAAGCGTGTTAATTTTTTCATGAGCACGGGCTTCGTAGATCTCTGTGCTAAATTTTAGGTGTGTCAGATTAAGAACATGCAAGGTGTTAAGGTAATGAGAAAGTAGGAAGAAAAACTAAAGCAGGGGAAATACTGAGCAAGATATGTTTAAAGTGGGAGGCAGACTGTGACTGTGAGAACCCGAACATGAAATTTGAACCCTGACATGACATGAGTTGTAAGGTCTCTTTGGGTTCTGACAGATTCTTTAAGCTCCAGCTTTTGTGAGCATCACTGAAAAAGAGGAAACCCAAAGCAGCAGGATCTCAGAGTGCATGTTTTTGTATTACTAATTTGCATGTATTTAAAGTAAAATTAAATATTTGCTGTTAAAACTGTGTATGATGCAAAAGTCTATATGCTAATATGCTACTGATAAAGGTTTTGCTTAACTAGGTCCAGGCTGAACAACTCGGTAGACAGCTTACAGGCTAACAAGCTGCTCCTGTAATATTCAGAGTTAGGCATCACAAAAGGATCCACTGTAAAACTGCATATCAATAAATTATAAAAGACAAAGTAGTCTGTTTGTGCGTATAGTCATGCGTTCACGATCACGTGCGTGTGTATGAGAGGAATGTGGGCATGCTATGCCACACATGCATGTGAGCACTGCAGGGGCAGCGCCAGTCGTGGTGAACTTTTCACTGACCCCCATTTCTGGGAATTCAGCCTTGCCCCTGGCTGAAGAGCCCTGGTGAGATGAATTAGTTCTGTCTTGCAGACTACAAACACGCCATTAAAGCTTTTCAGTGTTGTCCCCCTCATGTACTCTCACCATGCCCTGATGGCTCAGCCTTGCCCAAAGCTGTAGCACCTCTTTAGAGCAAGAATTTAGCCTTGTGCTGTTTTATTTCTCAAGAACGTCAGAGGTCAGCAAAGCTATATGCAATTTTTTTTTCCAGCAACTTGCAAGTTTTTTTGGTTAGATGTTTGTTCACGTGAAGGTTTTGCATTTGATGTTCAGATTTAGGTTACCCTTCCATCATGCCATATGACGTTTCAGCTCTTCTATGGTCATAGTATAAATAACGTCATAACAGCTCCCTCACTGCCTGTTAGATCCATTTTACACCAGTACTGTGCAGCAAGTCCTCTGTGCAAACAAGGCCCCCGGTCATCCCCTATGGATGAACCTCAGCTCATCTCTCCTTTTAGCCCTGGTAGCATAATGTGTGATGTTATTGTGTGGCTGGCTTCCGTGTTTGCAGAAGAGCTGAGAACAGGGTTGACATGCTTGTTTCAGTCAGTTTCCGCCTCTTGTTTGGACTGACTTCAGGCCGAAATCCCTCAGGCCGAGCGCCTGGCTCTGGCTGCTGCACTAACTTCATTGTTCCAATTACAGCACGCTTAGTTCGAGCCATGTTTGCCTTTCCTAGCAAGAACTATTGTCTGTGGTGTATCTGAAATAGGCCTTGGCTGCTTTAGTGAAGTCGAGCCCAGCGCTCATGATGTACGCTTGATGTCACAAAGCTCGGTCTCCAGGCTTTTGGCTGAACACTGTCAGCCAGAATTACACGCAGCTTTCATGCACGTGTGTATATTTCAGTTGCGTGGGGACAACAGTATATGTCCAAAGCAGAGCAAAAGTTCTTGCCTCAGTCCCATTGAAAGGCAAAAGAGAGGTTGTATCATTCAAACATCAAAAAATTCTATATGAACGGGCCTAAATGTTGCTCAACTATTACATGCACTAGACAGATCAGCACCTACAGAAAGTGTTCAGTTGAAGTTACTAAATGTAAGAGTTCACCTACTTTTCCATCAGTAACTTCGGTTGTGTAGACCAGGGGAATTCAACTAGAAGAGGTCCAGTTACGTCAGATTTCTTGCATATGAAGTTCCTGATAAACAAACTAACATAAGTGAATAGCAACAGCAGTTACCTTTAAATGCTTAATCATTAATATTTGTTTAGGAAACTATAAAAAAAAATAAGATACATCAAATGTTTTCATAAACCTTTTTATTTTGAATGTACTTTTATAGTCTTATGAACATTTCAAAATGATATGACCATTGGCTAGTGCTTGTAAAATGTGTGTGTGTGTATATATATATATATATAATATATATATATATATATATATATATATATATTCTTAATTAGCTTTCCAGGGAATTGGCAGCCATTCTGATGGACCTTTCATGTTGAGCTTTAGGTTTATTTTATCTGTGATCAGAACTTGATTTTTTAGCTTAATTTGAAGTGACTGTTTTGTTTTGTGGTGGCAAATTAATGTTTAGTGGTGAATTAATACTTAATGTTTCCTCATTTTACTAGTGCTAAGGACTCTTAACAGATGAGATGCATTGTTATGAAATGGGAGAATAATGGTTTCTATTTTTTTCTATTAATTAGTTTTTAAACATTCTCATCACCAGCTTTCCTTTTTTATTTTAATTAAACGTGGCATTTTGAGTGTAGTATGTAGACACTGTTAAAATTTCAAAATGTACTCTTCACTCCTCAGCCCATGCAGTTCATGTATTGAAACTAATCTACAAGAACAGCCTATTTCTGACGTGATGAAAACCAACTCATTTATATATCCACCAATTTTGCCTACAGTACTTTAGCCCCACCCATTTATGCTGAAGTTTTAAGGAGTGTTTCAGCCCAGACTGCTTCTCAATGAAGGCACAATGCAGGGCGGCCAAACAGAACAGAGCTCATTTACATCTATCAGTCTTAAAGCCCCAGTTCCAAAACAGCCTATTTCCAAGTGATAAATATTGTCACATTGCCCAGCCCTGTATGAGGGGTTACTGATTTACTGAATTGCAATGCAAGAAAATAGTCCTACACTACTGTAAGACATGTCTGTACTTATGTATGCTGTTCACCAATGACCATCTTTCCTGTTCTTCCACCAGAGATGAAGTGTATTGTGCAGTTGGACCTGGATCTCAAGTACAAGAGTAACATTCGAGACCTCTTTCAAGAGTTTAGACACTTCCCTCCTGAAGCAGTCATCGGAATTGTCCGAGAGATGCAGCCAGTGTACAGGTATTCCGCATCCACATCTGAATTAGAGGTGAATTAAAACAGGAATGCAGGTGCAGTGTCTTTGTGCCAGTGTTAGTCAACACACTGCTGGACTAGTATCTGTGCAGTTCTCATATGTCCTTAGTTTGGACTAAATGGGTTAAATAATGTCAAGAGGCTAATTAACGCTAACATCACACATTTCACCCCAACTTGTTTAGACATAACTTTTGTCATCTGTGGTTTCATGTATAAGAATTCACATATCTCTTTAGCTCCTTACACATAAGCTCTTTATTATTCTTTCTTATTTTTTATTCTGTTTATTGTATTTTTATTTTATTTGTCCCTTTAGTAAAATATTTGTTAATGGTCTGTTTGTTTGGTTTGTCCAGTATGTTATTGTCATACTAAATAAAAGCAATGTATTTTGCATTTCATAATACACCACACATTTTCAGTAGGAGACAGGAAGGCCTGTCTAGCAACCACACTCTCTGATTACGCAGCCCTGCTGTTGTAACAAGTGCAGAATGTGGCTTGGCATTGTTGTGCAAGTTACACATGCCATGGGCACTAATACATCTCGATACCATGACAAACCCTGGCTTTTGAACTTTACACTGCTAACAGTCTGGATGGTCCCTTCTTCTTTGGCCTAGAGAAACATGATGTCCATTATTTCCATAAACAATATTAATGGTTGGCTTGTCAGACCACAGTACGCATTTCAGATGAGCTCAGGCCCAGAGAAGTCAGCAGCGTTGCTGGACATTGTTGATAAATGGCATTCACAGGATAAAGTAGTCTTAACTTGCAATTCGTGAACATTGAGTCTTTGTTGCTGACAATGGTTTGTCAAAGTATTCCTGAGCCCATGCGGTTGTGTCAGCTGGTTGCCGGTCTTTAATGCAGTGCCGTCTGAGAGATCAAAGGTGCTAGAAATTCATTTGTGGTTTTTGGCCTTGCAGAGATTTTTCCAGGTTCCCTAAATCTTTTGATAATATGATACACTTGATAGGGTGAATTACCTAAAGTCTTTGCAAACGCTGGACCGGAACCTTCTAGGAACGTTGTTCTTAGAAGCTATTTTGCTGATGCTTTTTTTGACAAAGTGGTGAGCCTCAACCCAACCTTACTCACAAAGGACTAGGCCTTTCCTGGATGCTCCTTTTATACCCTGGTCTTGAATTGTGCCTGAAACTGATCAGATAAAACATTCAGTATCTTTGTACTGTTTTTGTTTAAGTACAGGTCAAAGTGGATTTACAAATCGGCCTTATGTTTTTATTTGCATTTCACATACTGTGCCAACGTTTTTGAAATTGGGTTTGTACATAAAAATCACTAATTAGAAAACAAGTGTTTATATTTTGACGGCCCCACCTGGTTTGGGTTGGGTAGCAGACCTATAAAAATGTTTATCAGGGCACTTAAAATTACCCAGATAGAATAGTCTGTTTTAGCATGATCTTTTATATTTAAAGTAGTGTTTCTAGGTTGTTTTTAGGCAAGAACAGTTTTAATGAATGACTGTTCAGTATTTTAAAATATCAGTAGATGTAAATAACTTGTTTTCCTGTTAGCAGGACATTAGTGAGGAGATGTGTAGAAGAGATGGTTGATGAGGAGAGAGAGGAAATGTGGAGAGAACCCATATTAAATAAAAAAGTAAGAACTTCTCGTTTTACAGGTTAGTTGGAATAAATGTGTGGCATCATACCCAAAAACAGTCCTTCACTGAACTGGGCTGAGCCATAGATCTTTACATGCCCAGCCAGTGCCCCTGGATTGGAGAAATACAAAACTTGTAATAACTTCAAGTAACTTGACCTAATTCAGTACGCATGTCATGGGTAAAAGAACAGCCAAAGTGGTCGATGTTGTCTGGTGGCTGGACAGGGTCATACCTCTGAAACTGGGGCACGTTAAAAGCCAAGTGGAGGTGTTACCTTTTCAAAGTTTTCCCCTATGAGCGCAGACTGTCAAGTGCCAGTGAAGAGAGCTTTGTGAGGCTGTTTTTCTCGAGCTTACAATGTTAAGACCTGCAGGAATACAAGGAGAGTCAGAACTGTGACAGGGGATTAACAAAGGAAGTTCCTCTGGGGGAGTGGTGTGTGTGTGTATGTGTGTGTGAGAGTCAGAGTTTATGGGCTATAACAACAGGATGCCTGTGTACTGCTCATCAGGTTTGGCTTTGTACTGGAGGGCAGTTTAGATTTCCAGCTTAATGTTGCTGCCCAGTTCTCTGGCTGCACAAGACAAACCCACACACATACTTGCAGAGGGACATGGCTGAGACCTAGCTGTGCATGTGTTCTTTTTAATGATAGAAAACATTTACTGTGTGCTCAGAAAGACACTTAGCAGCCAGCATCAGTAAGGCTGTGATGCTCATTTAGACCAAAATTGCCTGCTTTTTCAAAGGCTTCCGAAGAACAACAAAGGAAAACAATGTATTACACAATGTGCTGAGCTTTTCTTTGAAAACAAAATATTACATTGAAAGTGCTGTGTTGGAACATTTTATGTAACAGACTCTGTGGAAGTAATCTGCAATCTCTGATCGCTTCTTTGTTAAACCGTGGATATGCAGCCCAGCCTGATGTGCTGCACTAGATGGCGCTCGAGTCAGCTGATCAGCTGCGACTGTTTACACGTCGCTCTCTTCTCTTCCTCTCCCATCCCCCGCTTCCCTTGTTTCTTCTGATTTATTTCCTCTGTATTGCTGCCCCTACTCAAGGACACTCACTCAGGTTCTTTTGGGCTTGTAAAAGGCCGAATACATCTGAGGCAACTCTAAATGCAGGACATTGCGAAAGATTAATAAATGCAGTCATGTTTCTGTCCTTTACAAAATTTACAATTACATGTCTTAAAAATCTGGCAGTGTGACATCATGTTCTCTTTTAAATGTTTAAATGCACTGGGACAAACACAGTAGTTTGACACTTTGCCCAAGCGTTCATTTTCATCAAGTAAGTGAGTATTTCCAGTATTGTACAAAAATTTGAGACCAATTTCCCGAAAAAAATGGCCATTATGTACAAGTTATTCTATTTTCAGAATCAAGAAAAAAGCAGAAACCCATCCATTTAAAATAAAATTTATAAAAACTAAATGCACTGCATGCTAAACAATAAATTATCTTGCATTTTTCAGTATTTACTGTGTCCTGCCTTTATAATAGCTTCCTTAATTTTCAGGAGGCTTGCTAGATTTTTTTTTGAAGAAATCTGCAGGGAGATTTTGTCACACCTCCAAAGTCTTAGAAGTTGTGTGTTCTGCTTTGCACAATCCAGTTAATCCCAAACCCATTCAATAATGTTGAGGTCTAGGATGGATGTATAGACAAATAGACAGATAAACAGAGTGATCCTTTAATTTCTCCTATCTCATAGTTTTTGTGGTCTAACAGGTCTTGCATGGTTTTTCTCTGTATCTTTCTCAAATAATTTTTTGGACTCTTGGTTTTGGAAACCCATATTTTTTCACTTATATTCCTTTTATTTCCCCATCTCGTATGGACTCATATATGGGTGGCAATCAAGTTAAAGTTTTGTGGTGCATAGTGTGACGTATATGGTATACGCATGAATGGAGTGAGTCCTGCCTGTGGAAAGAAACATCCCCAAGTGAGCTATTCCTCCAAAACAGAGAGTCCGTAATCAGCTACTGAAATATCAACAGTGCGTCAGCAAAGCTGAAGTGATACGATCTACCACCTGCAGCAGCAGGATGGCCCTTCTGGGCCACCATAATTAATGTTTGGACTTTCCAAGCCTTCCGCCTGGCTGGCACATTTTTTGCTCTTTGTCTTAACAGCAAAGAAAGCACGGATCACTTAGTTTCCACTGGTGCAGCATGTTTGTGAGGCTCCAAATCCCTGGTGGATGATATAGATGCCTGAGGCTCAATGTATTACTTTCACTGTGTTAGTGCTGTGGAGAATGTCTACCTACAGCGATGCTCTTAGGGCCCTGACACTCTATGCTGACTGTTGGCTGTCGGGCCATCATGGAGCATCTACGATGGGCTATCGGCCGTAGTTTTACAACTTCCTTCAAAGTATTCATATGTAAAAAAGACATGCCTCTTGATTTTTCTGTTTGGTACTTTGAGGGAATATTTTACCAGATGTGTTCGGCAGAACATTGACTGGATTTTAATCCAAACACCAGTTCTGTGAAAGTCTTCCCGTTTTCTTTTTTCTTTTTCTTTTTTGATTTTTTGTTTGTTTACAACTTTGTTGTAATCACCTTCTGATATGGAAATTTATTTCCATCCATGCAGGTGCAGAAGATGCATGCATGTGTGCTCTCAGCAACAGAAGGCAATCATCAGTCAGCCTTGGTTGTTTAGCATTAGTTTTTCAACGTTCAACGTTGACTTGTGCTCTGAGTCACAAGACTTCTTTCTATTTTGCCAAACCTTGGAGCCTTTCATGAAGCAATTATGTGAGCTACCCTAATATGTCACTTCAGAAATGCACTGCAGACCAGGTCTCCCATCTATTATCTGCTCTGTTGGCAAAAGGTGGGTTCTTAAGACCTCCAAGTAAGACACTTTTGAGCTCTTTCTCTAAGCATTGATGACGAGTTGCATCTGAGATATTACAACCTTGATATCAAAGAAAATGGGTCACCTTTCATGCACTTGTTCCAAAGTTCGATTCCTGTGTCTCCCTACTTGAGCCAAGCCTTGCCCTCTCCAGGGCACCAGATGCTGCGGGGCAGCCTGCCAATTGTCTGGAATCTACCCTGCGCACACGGCTTGGTATGAGAGTAAACACTGAGCAGGGACACTCACTAAATGGATTGTAACCTTCAATATGTTAACAGTAATCTAGGCCCTTTGCTTCCCTGCATTGTTTGGTTTACTCTGGATGGGACACAGCAGTTTTAAGCACACCGTTTGCATCTCAAGCTCTGTTTATATGAAAGTTAAAGAGAGGGAAAAGCAGAACGGGGGATATCCACTCCAAAGCACTGAGTGGACTGAGTGAGTGACCTTGGTAGTGG